GCTCACAAGTATTTATAGGGGAGTGAATTTAGCATTGGGGAAGAGCCGACGGCAATCGTCGGAAGATTCTCTTCCCCTAGGTTTTCTTTTCTGTATGCCTTCATTTTTTTTTCCGTAATCGAAAAAAAATATATATCCCGATACTTTTTTGAAAGTATCGGGATTTTTTGCATCTAATAAATGAAGGTATATAGTAGCAAAGAAAACCTCCCGTTTTTGCGTCGCATGCATGGTTTGATGGTTGCGAACGATCGACGGGTTGAAAAAGAGCGTGTTGATTTGGAAAGAAAAAGAAAGGCAAAGATTGTTGAAGAAAAGAGTTGGGAAAAAAGTATTGCAAAAGAAGAAAGTCGTCGTCGCGGCGTGTTGCGTCGGGAAAAGGCTGCGGAGAAGAGGCGTGCGAAGAGGTGTGCGAAGAGAAAAAAGCTAAGGAGAAAAATTTCATTTTGGCATGAAGGTGAAAAATTACGTAAAAGGGTGGAAAAAAAGAAGAAGGATTTTAAATTTAGATTGGATTTGGAGAGTGAAGAACCAGTCAATAAAAGAGCGTTACGTAGTGTAGTTAATTCTATTTGGTATTTGAAAGGAGATGATTTGAATAAAATTGCATTTGATATTCATCTTAGAATTCATGAAGATGAAGAAGAAGATTTAGTCTAGCCTAATGGGTTTAACGATGATTTTTAATAAATTAAAAAACTTTGACGAGTATAATAAAAAATGAATCCTATGACTACTATCATCCATTCTGTGATGAAATTATCTGCGGGAAACGTAACAGATATTCCCAGTGTAAGATTAACGGAAGAAGAGGCCAACGTGTTGTACGCAACGTGTGCGATCTGCAGTTCGTCCGCACTATCCATTCTGATGTTCGTGACGGTGAAATCAATAAGGATATGTCGAAAGAAGAAGAAGAAAGACGAATTACCCATTCACACACCGTCCGCGTAAAAAGAATTTTAATAATCTTATTATTAAAATTTATTCAGGATTATTATCACCAGAAAGACTTCAAACGTGATCGGGATCAGTAGGCAACCGATCAGGCACGTCCAAAGTAGCGTTCTCCACAGGAATAATTTTATCATTTGTTTTATCGTAATTTTTAACGGTGGTACTGACGTATCCGATCTGGGTGTGAATACTGGTCGTCGTATCTCCGCGATCGAATCCGAAACCAAGACTAAACATTTTTCGTCTCTTGTGATTTTTGTTTTTCTTGATCGAATTTTTAGAGGAAAGACATCCCATTTTATAAAAAGATGGATGAATTGCAGATTCCGTTCAACATGATCATCGTGGGCATGACGGCGTGTGGGAAAACGCATTATCTGTTGGAAGAATTAAAGACGACGTATTTTCGTCAATTTTACAAGATATTTTTAATTTGTCCGACGTATCTTTGGAATCGTACGTACGATCAAAAATTTATTCCCAACGATCCGAATTTCTACGTGATCGGTTGTGATCACGATGCGGTTGAATACTGGTTGTCCGTGGTGGTGTCGTACGCGTCGGGGATCAAATCGTTGATTATTTTAGACGATTGTGCGTCTTCGAATTTCGTTAAGGATCGCACGGGTGAATTGGTGAGGTTGGGATTTAGTGGTCGTCATCAATCGATTTCGACGATCGTCATCACGCAACAATTAACATCGATCGCGAAACCATTTCGCGAACAGATTCAGAAATTGGTGACGTTTTACAATCCGAATCGTAAGGATATGAAGATTATTTTAGACGAATATTTGGGGGAGATGGACGAGGAAGAGATGAAAAGGATTCGTCGTATTTTAAAGGAAACGAAGCATGCATGTTTGGAAGTGGAATTAATTCATCCGTTTCGGTATAAGATAAAGAAATGACTGATAACTTACCGAACGAAGAATTCATGAGGACGGAAGGTGAAATCCGCGATGAATTACGTGCGGAATTAATTCGTTTGGTGAATTTAGGCGAATTGAAGAAAACGGAGGAACAGATTAAAAAGGCACCGTTGAAAACGTTACGTGCGATTAAAATTCAATACGAAAGGGATCGTCGCAAAAAGGTGAATTTACTATTGACGGAAAAATTAATCGATCAATTTTCGGATCTGTTGGAAGGCATCCGTGCGATCGATAGCGGTGAAAAATTAAAGGAAGAATTAAAAGAGGATAAATTATTAAAAAGCGACGTGAAAAGTCTCGTGGAAAAATTATCGCCGTACATTCCGTTCTTGGGAATTTTAAGTGGCGGCGTGACGACGGTGAAACATGTGTACGGTCGCGAACGCGACGAGTCCGGAGAAAAAAAGGAGGAGAAAACAGAATAATCGTGAATTTTTCATATTTTCGGAAAAAAATATGAAAAAAGTTTTTCACAATCAACAAGTTAGTATCTCACCCCACTTAATTGACCGTGAACTATTTTAATCACTCCGGCGGAAAGAACGAACGTGTAACAGATGACGTTGGCGGTCGTGGCTTTTTTCGTGATTTCGACTAGGATTCCGGATTGGGTATTTTGAATTTTCACCCCGTTTCCATACGTTTTTGCATCGTTCACCGTTCGCAAGTCGATGACCAACGCAAACTTTTTATCTTTGTAAAATTTGATCAGAGATTGTTGTCCGTTGGCATCGGTTCCGAAAAGTCGTTTGGCCTCTTCATACATTCGTGTTTTTGTCATTCCCTGACTGTACACGACGTTGGGTACGCCTTCGATCGTGACTTTTACTTTTTCGATGTTTGGAAAGACGTATTCTTCACTATCGGTCGGTGTTTTTTCCGTGAAAAGCATGACGACGGCTTTCATACTTCGACGTGGAAGATTGATGGTTTCGTTGACGATCGTCAATCCTTTATTCCATTCTGTCTTTTTCATCAACGTCGCGTGTTCGAAAGATAACTCGCGTTCGGCTCCGTACAAATTTTCTGATTTTCGTGCGAGGTTTAAATTCTCGATGGATTCGTATTCCAGTTCCAAATTTTCCAATCCCGTCGACGGAATAACCGTCGACGGTTTCCCCGCCTTGTGCGTTCATGATTTCGGAGGCCGGCGGTAACGTGATGACAAATTCAAGATCGTTTGCCATGTGATACGGGGCGTAGAACCCGTGATCTTTTAAAATCTTTGTGATTTTCATGCGTTGTTTCGTTCCGAAAATTCCAAAGAGTGTGGTCGCATCGGCATCAGCATTCGCCTCGTCGTCTTTGGATATTTTTTTGCGAACGGCTTCGGTTGCAATTCCGTCTTGAATTTTATCGGCGCGTTGTTTTTCGTCCATCCACAGATCTTTATAAATTTCCAACAAACTTTCGCCGCCGTTATCGTAAACTTTTTCTCCGGCGAGACGAATTTCTAATCTTTTTTGCAGTAATTTTCCTAAATTATTCCGGAACCATGATTTTTCGTTGGCATTTTTAAAGTCAAAAATTAATGCCATACTATCGGGAACGAGAACGGAATCCGGTTTGAGTTTAGGAATATTAACGTAAATTTCTTCCCCGGGTTTTGCCGAATTCGGATTAAACGTGATCAGATGTCGCGTTCGGTTTCCCACTAATTCCGTCCTGGATCGACGACTAAAATTAGGACTGAGTTCGATTGTTCAACTTTCCATCTTTTATTTCATGGGAAATGAAATAAAATAATTTTTTTACTTCTTCTTTTTCGTAAAATAATCGTACAGAAAGCCCGCGATCAGGATTGCGAGAATCCATAAATTTTTCGCTAAAAATTCTATTCCTTTCGCCCCCCATTTTAAGATGGTTGCCAGCATATTCAAGATGGGTATGAAAACGGGTAATGCGGCTTTCGCTACTTTGGCCAGCGCTTTTCCGACTTCCCCTAATCCTTTCGCGGTTCCGACCAACGTCTTTTTTCCCGCGACGACAACGGTCGTAATAATCCCCGCAATGGAAATTGCAATGACAGATAAAACTCCTAAATTCTCTTTTGCCCATGTTTTTAATTTTTCAAATCTCGTTCGTACGTCGTCGCGTACTTTTTCGCGAACGCGGTGAATACCTTCCTCAGATTCGGGACGTCGTCGCATTTCCAATTTTGCATCGTCGATATTTTGATCGACGATTTCCAAGGCTTCGCGAAAGATGGATCGTCGATCGGGATCGGATTCATCCTTATAATCTTGTTTGATTTTTTCACGTTCTATTTTTAAATATTTTATTCTTTCTTCGGGTTTTCCTTTGGGTTTCGTAACTCCCACCAATTCTCTCGTTTCCTGTTCGGTGAATTTCCCGTTCTTGTGGAACTGTAAAACACGGTCGTGAAATTCAATGTTATCGTCGACATTTTCACGATGAATTTCATCACGGACATCGTTAGAAATAGCATCGATATTTCTGCCTGTTTCTTCTTCCGTAATACTATTTAATGTTTTTCGATGTTCTTCCGTTGCTTTTTCAAAGACATTCCTAAAATCTTTTAGTCCCTGTACGTTCGATGTATTTTTTGATAGGGAATATTTTCCATTTCTATCGATGTATGCAACTTTAACATTATCGAACGTCAACCAGTATTTATCGACAACATCCAGTCGAGAAAATAGATCTTTTGAATTCGCTCCGTCGTTCGGATTTAAATTATAGTTTTCTGTAAAAAGTTTTTTTAAATATTCAGATTTTAATTGGACGGATGATCCGGTCGTATATAGAAAATTAGTTTCTCTTTTTCTTTTGGTAGATGTATCATCTTCGTTGTTTCTTTTAAAATCCGTCATCCATAATTCGTCATCCTGTCTATCTAGATCTTCCAATCCTGTTTTGTATAAGTCATCGTTATCTAAATTAGTTTCTTCCCAATTATCCCACTCGTAATCATCGTATTCTCCAATGTCATCCATCGGGATATATTCTGCCATACTTTATTTACCACTTAAGTCCGGCGATAATTCGTGTTCGTAAAATCTTCCCTCGATTTCCCGATCGTCGTCGTCGGGATCGACGAGTTTGTACATGTTGGGATCGCTACGAAACACTTCCGATACGACGTAGATATCGTCGGTATAATTTTGCGTGTATCCTTTTGTAAAAGTGTCGCGATAAATTTGATCTCTGACACGATCCCCGACTTTAAATTTTGGTTCTGGAAATTTCGAGAGTGGATATCCGTAAAGTGTCATCCAGACTTCGTCTTTATTATGTTCGTTGACGTCGGCAGGTTTCATTTGAATCGTACTATGTTTCGAATGATTGTACGATGCGACGAAATTGGGTAAAACATCGATCCACACTTTTTTCTTTTCCGTAAATTTTTGTTCGGTAAAATATTTCCACATGCGTGTTTTTAACGTGCGATTAAATCTTTCGACGACCGCCGCTTTTTTACCGGTGAGACGCGTCGAAAAGAAATGAATGTTTTTTTCGCGCAATATTCCTTTCACCCCGTTATTGTAAAATTCATTTCCTTCGTCGAATTGAACGACTTTGGGATAACGTCCGAATCTGTCGTAAAATTGTTTCAGTAATTCACGAACGGTCGGTTTCATATGTTCCTCATCTTTAAATTTTGATGGAATGGCAAATGCGTATCGACTTAAAATTTTGATCGCCGTCAGAATCCATTTGTTTCCTTCATTCGCACGTCCGAATTTTTTCATATCGACTAAGTCCATCTGCAATTGTTGGGCGAGTCCGTCGACGTACGTGCGTTGCGTTTTAAAATGAACTCGCGTCGGTTTGTGAACGACGTACGTATTTTGAGTCTGCAACCATATTTTGATTTTTCTCGCGTGACACCGGGAACACCTTCTTTCACCGCATTCCGATATAATTTTTCCATCGACATGTAACCACCGTTCACGTTAAAATACAGTTCGCGTAAACCGATGTCTAATGCGTTCATTTATAATAAATGAAAAAGATAACAGTTTTTATTCGGAACGGTGAAACCGCGGTGAAATTACAAAGTCCGTTGATCCTAACGGCAGTCTCCAAATTATACGTGAAGACCGTGGCATTGTTTTGGACGTACGAAAATATACGTAAGGGAGACAACAATTACTTTTCCGTCGACGGGAAAAAAGTCATGTTGAAGAAGGGATATTGGACGTTTAAACAATTACGACAAGCGTTAGAAAGTCACGGTCTCGTCGTCGAAGATTTTCCGGACGGACGGATTCAAATTGGATTTGCGAAAAAAGTCAAATCATTTAATCCGTGGAAACTTAATAATCTATTGGGTTTCACCGACGCGTTTTCGTCAACACATCCGAGTCAACGCCCCGTCGATATTCATGAAGGTTTGCGTTACGTGACGGTTGGTTGTAATTTAGTCGACCGATCTCAAAATATAGGACCCGACGGATTTCCCAGTAATATTATTTCATCGCTCCCCATCGACGGAACGAAACCTTTGTTCGGGACGACGACAAAATACAACGACATCGAAAGCGAAGTGTTTGCGGACGCGGGCATTTATCACGAACTTCATTTCGACGTGAAATCTAACATTGTGGGAATCGTACCCTGCGATGTTTTGATGGATCTGTATATTTTAAAATAAACAATGTCTGAAGAAGAAGCCTTCCGTCAGTACTACGGAAAAAGTTACGACAAGTTTAAAAAAGCCTATCCTCTTGAAATCCAGAAACTAAACTAAGGATCCAAGGATAGTGCAGAGTTTCAAAGACGAACGCTATATTGACATACTTATTAATTGAATAGTTTTTCAAGCGTGGTTTATAGCTTTAATCACATGTCGATATGACGTACAGTAGTAGCGCGCGTGACTGTTACAACAGTAAAAATGCTAAGATCTGGTTTAAATCTAATACTTTAAGATTAAAGAATGTCGAGAGTTATGTAATATTATTTATTTCCTCATATAATATTAGTCACAAGGCATAATTTCTGTTATAATGTTGTAAAGTTTCCAATTGAAAACGACACTATATAGGGTCGCCGGCAACCTAGGTGACTTGTTTAAATCTGTGATTATTCCCACCATCCTTTTAGCGCCCATATTGTACACTTTGGCTTTTGTCTCAGTGACAACTTGAGAAAATAGCTGTATAAGATATGTTATAAATAATAAGCATTACGACGTTGTATTCCATTACAAAAAAGGAACATAAATCTAAAACACAGAAACGTAAATAAGAGGCAAAAAACTCATTAAAATGACGCATTTCATCCGCATTTTATCCCCATATCCGTTCCGTGAATCCGCATCCGCTTTCCGCATTTTAATCTAATTATGACGTATTCACAATAACAAGTCTCATTGACCTTTGATATATTTCGAAGGTCACGTTGTTGTTTCATGGGTCATTTTCAGCTTTTCGCATGTATTCAATAATGTAACTTTAGATTTCAATAGTTTCACAGTTATTGCAGTGTTTATATAGCAGTTTTGACAAGCTTTGATACAGATAGATTCTCGTAAGATCTGGTAGAGTTTTCGTTGCACTGAACACGAGTTTGCACCGTTGTGCTATACACGTAAACAAAGATTTTCTCAATATTTATGTCTGAAATGTTTATACATTTGAAAACACGGTCTCGCTGCTTCCTAGCTCTGTATAATGAATATACCGTCGGCACTTAATAGAATGCCCGTAATGCAAAAAATCAATTTATATATTGCGTAGAATCTCAAAGATTTTCTCAATATTCATGCCTGAAATGATCATACATTTCAAAAGACAAAACAACACTGTCTCGCTGCTTCCTAGCTTTGTATATTGAAATTGAATATACCGTCAAAATAATATCGATACTTAATTGAATGCCCATAATGCATAAGTCATAACATCAATTTATATATTGCGTAGATTCTCAAAGATTTACTCGATATTCACGTCTATAAAAATGTTTATAATTCGAAAACAACACTGTTCGGCAGTGTCGCTCCTTCCTAGCATCGTCATTCGTCACGCCATCGTGATCTACAGCTTGATAGCACATGCACATGCGCATTTGCGCTGCTAAAGAAAAAATGGGTGTTCCGGGGGAAAGATCTTTCACACAACACGGAGAAGCAAATGTTATAAAATTGACAAAAATTTGCAATAACAACAATTCCTGGAAATTTTTGTGAACTTGGCAAAAGGACAAAATAAGTATTTAAATAAGACAACTGAAATTGCCTAAATAACCTTCAAAGCACTGACTAAGTAGAATAAATCACCACGACGATAAATCGTATACACCCCCCGGAAAGTTTACTCTATGATATCTGATGTATGACATATGTGAATTTTCGCCACTCATCACCATAGTGCACAGTTTCAAAGAAACTCTGCACTAAAAATAATTTCTCGAAAAAATATCCGAACGCTACTCTGGACAAATTTAATTTCGAAGTAAATTTCACCAAAGACGGACGTCTGGATTCGACCGAAATTTCTTACAAAGTCGACGAATTTACCAGTTACGATATCACGTCCGACACATTCTTACACAATCCGGAATGGATGAAATATTTACAATGGAAAGACGGATGGCGAAACGTGAGATCCGACATGCTGTTTCGTCCGAATTTTAATTTCTCCGTCCCGTTTCACACGTTCGACGTTTACGTGTCGGAAACAAAATCTTTTCCCACAAATTTTGAATTTACGACACCGCAGTATGAGAAAACGGGAAATTTTATAAGTCCGTTCGATCCTCATAAAAATTCATATTTTTCCTCGCTGGCCGCCTGTTACGTCGCCACGTTTAAATGCGGAATTTCCGAAAATCATCTGAACAATACGTTGTCCGATTCGCATTTGATCACGTCCATCGTAAAATTTCACGTGCATTATCAGATGGAAAAATTCATGAAAGATTCAAAACTCATGGATCGTTATTTAACGAAAGACGATCTTTACGTTCTGGGAAAACACATGCCCGTGACCGAAAAATGGGAACGACGAACAACCTCGTCGCACGCGAATATTTCCACGTGGTATTACGATCATTCTGCCGAGGAACGTCGAAAAATTCGAAATTATCGATACGGATTTACACCGCACGGTGGAACGTACATCACGTACGAGTATTTAACGGGATCGACACCGAGAAATGTGGCGGAAGATCATAAGATTTTCATTCCGAAAACGTCGCACGGATTAACGAAAATCGGACGAGAGTTATTTCAACAATCGCTCGAAGTTTACGTCTACTGTATCCTAGGAGCGCAGGCCAAAACCCGCTGGAGTATCGTGGGTCGGGGCGCAAAAAGTTTACAGACGCAAGATGCTTTTCGGAAACTTTTAAAAGACAGTATCGTACAAAGTGACGTGACCGTAATCATCCGCAACATGCGAACGGCGATCGTCGATACGAACGTCGTGTTAAATTTTGTCATCATGCCCGGTTTGATTTTAATACCGTCCGACATGCGAATTTTACAAAAACTGTTGAAAGGATACAATAACATTTTAAAGCTGGCAAATCAAAAAATGAGTTTTGGAAAAAATGAAAACGTGAATTATACACGGTCTCCGAAAAGTCCGGTGAGAACACCCGTAAGACCACAAAGTTCTACCGATAATTTCATCGGGCCATCAACGACCGATCCCGGGATAAATTCAACAACGGAAAAGGTCCCCGAAACTTTTCCCCAACCCGTGAGAAATTCACAAAGTCCATCCACTTTGGGAATCGTAGCCGTTATTTCGATGGGAGCTGCTTATTTTTTATTTAAATAAATGAGTATATTCATGGGTTACGACTACTTCGATACGGATGATTTTAAGAAACTTAAAGAAAAAGTCGCGACGATCGAAAAAACACAGCAGGGGAATACGGCCGAAATTCAAAAAAATAAAACCGAACTGATCGACTTGAACGACATCGGAAGAAATCCACCCGTTCGATACGATCTCGCACAACTTTCGGGATATCCACCTGGATTTCTCGAAACCGTTGCCGTTTCGGAAACCGATGAGAAAAATACAAAATTCATTATTTTTCATTATGAGTGGTGTTGGTATCAATCAGGAAACGCAATCTCCCGCGTACGGATTTTATAGTGGAAGTAATGGAAATGTCGTCATGTTTACCGAAACGCAAACGGGTGGTATCGTTCGTACGACGTTTTCATTCTTTTACACGTCCACTAAAAAAATTACCATCTTCGGATTAAAATTTAGAAATATCGATACGGCTGGAAATTCATCCGTTCGAAAAAAATCGACGGTTCTCAAATGTTTTCTCGTCACGTAATATTTTTTTTAAGTTTCACTTACTTACTTTCACTTAAGTTTCACAGGCGATGGCCACCGCTAATTTTACACCGCCTTCCATCGTCATCGGTGCACCCAAACTTTTCCCGGCAATCTTTTTCGCAGCGTAGGAAACACCGACGACGCCAACCGTGAGTAGGACCGCATCGTACACGTCCTGAACGATTTCGTTTTTTGTAGGAGTAGACATTCTTTTATTTGATGAAAAAAATTTTTCCGATACTTCTACAAGTATCGAAAAAAATACTTATAGCTAAACTTAGGGCGTTTTGCCCTAAGTTTATATATTTATATGCGTCGGAAGGGTACGGTTTTGAAACCGTACCCCTTAATTCTCCGAGGGTCGTTCTTGTCTTTTTTCTCGTATTGGTGGTGATGGTTTCGTTCGGTCTGACGTAACCGAGTAAAAGTGTAATTTTCTTCGCCGGAAAAAAACTAACCGTGAAACACGGTTAGTTTTTCTAGATAAACTATTCAGGTCTGGTAATCGTTTTTATAAATCTTTCGTTTCTTTTTGTCCTTCAAGTTCACGAATCTTTTCTTCAAGTTCGCGTATTCTTTCACGAAGTTTTTCTATTTCCGTCAACGCCTGTTGTTGACTCTCCTCTTTTTCATCCTCCAATTCTATAATTTTATACCAAAGTTCTACCTTTTCTTTTTTAACGTTTAAAAACTGCATTTCCTTATCGATGAGTTCCATTTCCCTTTCGATGAGTTCTGTTTTAAAAAGTCTCACGTTTTCCTTTGCCTGTCGATTATTTTCCTGTGCGATGCGTCCACCCGATCTTCCACGGGAAACGGCTTCCGGATCTTTTAAAAGATTTGATTTACGATTTAATTCATCTTTCACTTGCTTTCGTTCGGGATAATCGAGACTTTGTAATTCGTCGTCTTCGATACTTTTAATTCTATCAATGATGCCAGGAAGAATATACATTCCCGTCTTCCGAATGGAGGGAAGAACTTCACTGATAACCCACCACTTAAATTCTCTGGCGCTGGGTAATTTTGAACCGAACGATAAATCGTAAATACCGTATTCGTTGATAAATACGGTGCTGGATATCACTCCGCCTGGAAGATCCAAGTTGTCGTGATTCACGACAAGTTTCAATTCTTCGAATTTGATTCTCGTTCTTTCATCCGTATGCCTGTGAATTGCATCGCGTTCATTCACGTATCCAAATACCGACGCAATTTCTCTCGCAAGAAAATAAACGCTTCCGTTCACGGTTTTAACCGAAGTAATTTTTCCACTTCCGAATAGTTCTGGAAGGACGAAGGTTTGAATACTCATTTTTTCCTAATTTATTCTCCTATAAATCATTGTGAGATTTTTTATGAGACATTAAAAAGAAAAACCCTAAAAGATCGTGGCTGTCGGTAAGACGAATCCAGGTGTGAGACTGTAAAAACAAGTCGGGATCACCTTGTTGGGTATGATTAGCAGACGTGCGATTCCAAAATCCAAGTTCGGTCTCTAATTCCTTTGCCACTAAGTAATTATTCATACCGTCGGATTGGACGGAGTATATTTCACTGTCCGAATTCTTAAATCCAAGTTCGGTCGCTAATTCCTTCGCCACAAAGTAAAGATTATTACCGTCGTCGGATTGGACGGAGAGTATTTTCCCGTTTCCGATCAATGTGAAATTTCTTCTTGACACTATCACTTTCATTTATTATACTATGAAATATTTTCAATCAAACAAGTCGTCAAAAGGTTCATCCTTCGGCGGATCTTTTTTCACATCGTTCACCACCACAGAACTTTCTTTTTTTCCCCCACATCGATTGCGCCACGTCAAATACAATCCGCCGAGACCGATCCCAACGCTTAAAATCATACACGCGCTCTGAAATCCCCATCCATCGTTTTCTTTTTTCCATCCGTTTTCGGGTTCGTTTTGAACGACTTCTTTTTTCGCTTCCCTTGCCGCTTTCATTTCCCGATTGGCTGCCGCCAATCTTTTTCCCTGGGCCACGCGACGTGGATCTTTAATTTTTTGGGGCGGTGGATTCGGATTCGTCACGTTCTCCGGTTCTATCTTAGGACCATTCGTTTCTTCCATCGTACTATTTATTTTAAAGTTGAACTTAAAAATTTGTTGACACTTGTTTAAAATTTACTTAGACAACAGCTCACGTCGACCTTGATTCTTGTTGATAACCAACGTACAAGTTAGTTACGTTTAACCTGCATTTTTACTCAAATCTATCGTATAAGTAACGTACAAGTTGGTCACATCATCCTGCATTTCTGCTGAAATCTATCGTATAAGTAACGTATACGATAATCACGTTGAACCTGCATTTTTTACTCAAATCTATCGTACTATCGCTGCCGCTTTACGCCCTTTCGAGATCGCGTTTTGTACTTTTTGACAGTCCTTTGTCATCCTATTCTTTATTATATTGAAAAAAAAAATTTATTGAATTCCACAAGCGTTGCGTGGATTTTTCACAATCCCCCTGTAATATTATCTCTTCCTTCCGGAATATTTTGATGCCCCCACGCCAACGTACGAATTCCATCCTTACAAATGTAACGTTTATCGTCGTCCGACGATAACGCCACTTTCGTAATTCGTTCCGTGTGAAGATGATGTTCGTAGCTACGAATCACGTCCATCTCGCGCCATTGTTTCTCCTTTAATCGTTGCGTTTTTAATTCCCTTCGCCCTTTTTCCTTCCTTATCGTTTTCCAATTTGTACGCATACAGTTTCGCACGCAATCCCACGAAGCCGACGATCTGATCCGATTCCGTCTCGAATTTCATCTTACCCAACACCTTCTTATTTTTTCCACACGGAATTCCCGAAGGATGCGAGCTGGGAAAATTACTCGTATCAAATCATTCGTCCACGTCGTTCGAAATATCCTTGAAAAAATCGTTGGTCTTCACGTACAAGATGAACGAATCCGTATCCGTGTACATCAATCTTATATCTTTTCCAAATTTAGGTTTCAAATAATCGTAGAAAAATCTATACATGTGAATCTTACTCAGATCCAGAATTGCCGCACCCACATAAATAGGTTTATTCAAATAAATTTCCGTCTTTCCCATGTGGGTAGCCACCAAATCTTCTGAAAAGATCGTCGCTTTTTTGAAATTCCATTTCCTTGCCAACTTATTCCAATCCTTGTCGTTGTTTACCAAACGGATATCCGTACGGTTTCTCACATTCTCCATCGTCTTTCCAAAAATAGCGTTACACATTAATTTGTAGAAATTTTTCTCGAATTCTGTCGTCGCTTTCTTACGGAGTTCGATGTTCATGTGGATATATTCCGCCAGCCACGGACGTTCTGAAAATTTTAAACCTCCGTGAATTTTTAATAATTTTAAACTGTGATCGAGATAAAACTTTAAGTTTTCCACATGAAGAATGTAATTCTTTTTGTTCCGTAAATTCGGTGCCAATTTTTCGATACCGCTCTTCGTCAACATTCTTTCGGGAGCGAGCGGACAATCGTTGTGAAGATCGTGAAGTTCTTCCGGATAATCTAAATCCACTTCTAAAAAACAACCCTTTCCTTCCGGAAGACGATCCCATTCTTTTTCAACGTCTTTCATCCATTCGAAATCGTCGTACGGTAACGGATGCAACATCGCCTCGGAATACAATCCGTTTGCATCCAAATACGGAATGAAGGTGGAATCATCCTCTTTCTCACGATAACGAAGACTCGTCACCCATCGCACTAAATTTTTGGAAACGTACGTCATAATTTGATCGTCATCCTCTTGACTATAATCCCATAAAAAATTACAGACCTCGTTCTCAAAATCCAAAACTTTTTTATCAATCTCGGACGGATCGTTCCTGATTTTTGAATCCAAGTCACACATCATTTCGATGATCTTGTCGGGAATTTTAGAAATTCCAACGTACTTATTGTCAGCCGTTCCGTAACGCATCACCGACGTACTGATTCCACCACGAATTCCACGTTCGATAAATCTAAACATTTCCGGATCGGAAATCAATCTTAATTTTACACCCGTCTTTTTTAATGCCGCTTCCCACGATAATCCCGGTGCCGTGTAAAACCACGGAGGATCTAATCCGTAAGTACCACGACTTTTCTTACGAAAATTTTCGATCACGTCTGCCAAAATTAACGTATCCGTCACCAAATATAATTCGTGATAATCACGCATGCTTTCCATCTTAAAAATTTTCCACACGATTTTTGCACGTTCGTAATCGTCGTCGGATATATCTTCACCCGTTAATCCACTATAAAATTTTTCCTTCGGAGGAAGCTTTCGTTCGTCCAATTTTTTATGATCCGTCATATACTCGTACGGATAAACACCCTTCTGCTTCAATAATTCTCGTTGTTTCCTCGTATACCCCATTACATCACAATGACGATCCAGATGAACGAAATCCGTCTTTTTGTTTAATCCCTGCGCCAACTTATCTAACGACGATTGCATCAACTTGCATGAATCTAAAAATCGAATCCATACCGTCTCGTAATATTCCCCGCCCGATTTCCCATCCCTAAAAGGACCCACCAAAATTCCTTTTTCAAAAGATATGTAATTCTGTTCGGTCCTGGAAATACATTTAAACCTACCCGGAATTTTTGCCAACGCATGAATGATCAAATGCGCATCGTATCCCTCTAAATTATGAAAATACACCGGAACGAAATCGGGCTCACACACTGCCAAATTACACGCGTTACAAGCGGCACCGCGATATTTTCCAGTGAAATGACAATGATCGTGAACCTTGCGAACCCTTGGAATTAATATATTCACTTCCCCTCTCTCAAATTCTTCTTCGTTCCCCACGCAAAATTCACGACGACACACATGACATTTTGTTTTCGATCGGTGGGAATTTTCTTGATTGCATGATAATTTTTCCATGGGAATGAGATCGTGCGTCTTTTTGAAAAAATCGCGAACTTTTTCGACGACTTCGTTCACGAAATCGTTGTCGTTCCACCCGACGAAAATTTTTTACTGATTCGTATCGGATGAAATCCATCGTCTTCGTCCCACGAAAAAACGTTCACGTTTACACCGTTATTTTTTTCAAAATTATCGATGGATTTTCCATCGATCGGCGTTGGAAATTCAACACCCTTCCAATATAACTCCTCCGCCTGTTTACAAAGTTTCTTCGTAATTCTACCCGGATCTTTTTCCACCGGATTCAAAAATCGCGTCGTCGCCCACTTGAAACATTCGTCGTCCGTATTCTGCATCGTGATCAACGAACGCTTTTTCCTTAAATGTTCGGGGAGAGGGATCGAAGGACCTCTTCCACGAAATGGAATGAATCTGCCAACGTGAACAAATAAACGTTGAACTCTTTTTACCACGAAATTACTTCCACCTTTTTGATAACGCGAAAACTCTTCTAATATTTTATCCTTCATTTTTCCCCAAATCTCATCCGTTAACGTATCCACACCGTGAAGTTTAAAATTACCCGTTATGAACGAAACTTCTTTCAATTCTTCTCGTCCACCCTCCAATTCCTTTCCCATCAAACATACAAATTCCAAACGGATGTTTCGAGATCGACTTCCGCGTAATTCGTCTAAAAGTTCGCGAACTCTAGGACGAACTGCTTCCAAAAACGGAATGGGATCGTATGCAGTCGTCGGTTCGATACGATATCGACGCACCATTCCACGAATTGCCGAATCATCCAGAACGGGAGTCAATTCAAAATATCTTCTCGCCGCTTCCCGTTTTTCTGCATTTCTCACACGCGCACGTTCGTTACGACGAAGACGACGATCCCGTTGAACGATCGTCTCGGTTGATTGTTTTCGACGAATAGCCTCCTAGCGAACACGTCTCTTTTCAGCCGACGCACGCCTCTTCTCCGCAGCCTTTTCCCGACGCAACACGCCGCGACGACGACTTTCTTCTTTCGCAATACTTTTTTCCCAACTCTTTTCTTCGACAATCTTTGCCTTTCTTTTTCTTTCCAAATCAACACGCTCTTTTTCAACCCGTCGATCGTTCGCAACCATCAAACCATGCATGCGACGCAAAAACGGGAGGTTTTCTTTGCTACTATATACCTTCATTTATTAGATGCAAAAAATCCCGATACTTTCAAAAAAGTATCGGGATATATATTTTTTTTCGATTACGGAAAAAAAAATGAAGGCATACAGAAAAGAAAACCTAGGGGAAGAGAATCTTCCAACGATTGCCGTCGGCTCTTCCCCAATGCTAAATTCACTCCCCTATAAATACTTGTGAGCCTTTTATCTTATACCCATTTTTTTTTTCCATAGGTTCAAAAAAATGGAAAATTAACTTTTTTGAACTCGCATTTTTCTATGAAAAAAGTTATTTTTTCCATAGGTTCAAAAAAATGGAAAATTAACTTTTTTGAACTCGCATTTTTCTATGAAAAAAGTTATTTTTTCCATAGGTTCAAAAAAATGGAAAATTAACTTTTTTGAACTCACATTTTTCTATGAAAAAAGTTATTTTTTTCCATAGGTTCAAAAAAATGGAAAATTAACTTTTTTGAACTCACATTTTTTCTATGAAAAAAGTTATTTTTTCCATAGGTTCAAAAAAATGGAAAATTAACTTTTTTGAACTCACTCCAAAAAAAAATTTTTTTTCTTCTTGCACAAAAAATTTTTTTTCAAGACTTTTTTTCCCCCGGACTTTTTCCCGCGAACTTTTTCCCCCGGACTTTTTTCAAAGACTTTTTTTCCACAACTTTTTTTCAAGACTTTTTTAAGACTTTTTTTCCTGCGGACTTTTTTTCAAGACTTTTTTTTCCTGCAAACTTTTTTCTTGAGGACTTTTTTTTCCTGAGGATTTTTGTCCCGAGGACTTTTTTCTTGAGGACTTTTTTTAAAAAAAAAATTGAATTCTTTTTTAAAGTCTTTTTTTTCTTTTGCGCTATAAGGAAGAAATATACCCTACTCCAGTGTTTCGAATGTACTAATGTTAACAGCTGTGCCATCAGCTGTTACTGACCACACATTTTTTACCAGTGTTGCTTGGTCCTTTGCATTCACTTTATCAGCCAAGAAGTATCCGACTGGATATTTCCAATGACTTCTGGTGCCTACCAGAAGAAAAACCAAAGCTTCTGTAGCCAATTTTTCTGGATGTTCATTAGGAATCTCATTTCCAAAGTCTACAAATCCCGAGTACGAGTCTTTTTCTGGATTCCAGATGGTTTGTTTTCGGATAGACATTGTGTCTATTACCAAACAGCAATCTTTGTCATTACTCGATTGAGCTACCTTCTGAGAAAAGGATGTGAATGCCTCATCAATAAAGCCTGGATCACACTTGAATGAAGAAGACCACTTTCTAATCAGTGATGGATTGGGGAGTGGAACCAAAGACCTGACATATTTATATGCCCTGGGAGAATAGAAATACAATGTCAATGCGAATTCTTTAATTTCGTCACTGTATCTTCTTGCTGATGGGGCAGACTTGATGTTGTCTTGGAAGTTGTAGAGAAATTTGAGTTGAGTGTTGTTGAGGGTGGACAGCAGAGCTTCGGATTCTTTGGGATTTAACACTAATTTTTCTTCTAGGAATTGAATAACGTCATGCATGGTGTTCATCTTCTTCTTGGTTCTTCTTAGTGTTTGCTGTAGTGTACGTATTTTTTGCTGTAATTTTGTGTGTAATTCATCTCTTTCATCACTTGAGGCACATCTTGGTCTTTTTTCTGGAATTGAAGCATCATTTTCATAGGCTGGACATGGTCTCTTGTTTATTCTTCTGTTTAATTCCTCATCATGTGCTGTTAAT